GTGATATTTTTAAAGAGAAGCTCAAATGTTTGTACCGTATGAAGTGGAAAAACAATTTGTTGAACAATTGTAAGCTTGACTTTTACAGGTGTGCTAAAGAAAATTTTGAATTTGAACATTATTTGGAAAAAATTAAAAATAAAAATCATAGAATAGCTTATACTAAATTTAGAACTTCTGCACATTTTCTTCCCATTGAATCCGGTAGACATAAAGGCATTTTGAAGGAAAACAGGCTATGTAATCTCCATGAATGCAATGAAGTAGGGGATGAGAAACATTACATTTTATATTGTAATAATTGTCAAATCAAAGAACAAAGATCTAGATTCCTTGCAGCTTTATACATCTATGCCCCAAAGCTGGAAGATTTTAGCATGGATGAATTATTTCCTATTATTGTTTCAAGTAATGATTTTTTCATTCTTAGCATTTTTGCAAAATTTATTTTCTATATTCTTGATATGTATTAATACTGAAAGTTTTTGTTGTTCTGAATGTTTTGTTTTGTTATTGTTATTTTTGGACTTTACTCAAGTTTTCATTGGTACGTTCCAAATAAAAAATTCTATCTATCTATCTACTAGAATGGTCGGCCGGGAGGCAATAACGGCCCAGACACGGCTGATCGATAAGCTCGTTTACAATTCATAATATCAGCAATAGAAATCGTCTGTGTCTAGCTTTACCTTTTATAAAATTCACATGATGGGCACCTTCTTCAACCACGTCAACTTTCTTGTCGAAACTACCCGCCATATTCGTTACGTTAGTCAAATGGCTCAGTCTAAGTGCAACAAGAGCGGGCACTAGCAAAGCTTAAAACAATTGACCCGCCAGTAACCGTCTCCAGGCACACCATAAATTTGTATTCCCTTTCCACCACGCACAGTTCAGCGAATTGTTGTTTTTGTTGTTGTTGTCGTGATCTTATTGAACAAATTATGTAAATTATAGTGTTAGTCGACGGTATTTTGAGTTGTTTGTTTACTGCAAAATAAAAAATAAATAAACTGTAAACTTGGTATACACATGCGTAAACACGTAGACCCTTGTTGAGGGTCTATGATTTACACAAGTAAAATCCCAAAATTTAGAAGAGGTTTTTTTTTTTACTAACTTCTAAAGTTTAAAACTATTCCCTAACTGAAGTCACCGCTTTGATAATAACAGGATGTTTTCATTTGTCCATGAACCCACGTAGGTCCATGATTTGTCTCACTGTACAATGGTGAGTTTGAACAGTTTGAGATAGGAAATTGCACTAACAATATTACACGCACAATATGGTATATGTTGATAAATTGCAACGTCATAAAGCGAGCCTGAACGTGAACATTATGAGGTGTGACTATTTTGGCGAGTGTTAAGATATCCTTCTTTCAGTTTTTTGGGGGCCGGTATGTCGCCTTACTTCATACAAGTGAACATTGATCCGGCACACGCAAGTTAATTCCATCGTGAATTTGTCATTTTCTTAAAAATTAGCTACAAAGAATCATTTACATGTAATAAAATTGGTCGAATTTGCTGTCATCGTTAATTCTAGGGATTGTGTGGTTATTGACGCACTAGTCACTAGTATTAGTGTGATTTTTCACTTAATGCATTACTATGTTTTCTATTTACATTACAATTTTTCATTTTAATTTTTCAACTTCATTAATGTACATAACCCCCCAAAAAATGTAATATTTTCTTTACGGTGTCAATAAAGCACTATTCTATTCTATATTTGCATTGAACGCAATAATGCAAATATTTTTTAATGTAGAATATCTTGGAACATATTCCCCCACTACCACATGTGTACATAAAATGTTGGTTGGTTCAGTCACAGTCTTAGAGGGACTGTGGTTCAATAAATATTACTAATAATAGTGTTTGTTTTTATCATTAGAGCACGCTTATGCGCGTAATCGTTCCATATTTGGAATTCGCGTTTCCTTATATGGTAGGATGAAAATACCCAGTGCAATACTGCAAAATTACGGCACATTGTAACATATGGCGTTACGGTGATAGATGTATAATGATAATATTTATTTAGATTTTGGAGCGGTAGTACTATTAAACAGTAAATTAGCTGGGATACAGCATGGAGCTACATGTGTGTAGCTAGCTGTCTTGGTATTGAATTGTACTGACTGTTACATCGAATAATCAGCTCCTGATTGGGCGATGGTTTTTCCGAACGCAACACTAGAGACGGGCAGCCTAAAGTAGCGATGATACTAAAAGCGCCGCCATAGGTAACTCTATTCTGTCAGCATTGAAACGACGTTAACATAAACTTTGGACTTTACTCAAGTTTTCATTGGTACGTTCCAAATAAAAAATTCTATCTATCTATCTATCTATCTATCTAAAATCGAAAATATATTGCCAGAACATATTATGTATACATAGTACATATATGACAATTTTCATTTTCAATATGTAAGTATCAATTTAATCTCATATAATAGATGAACTTTTATTGACGACGGAACGAGTAACGCGCCAGGTAGCTCTGCGTACAGTGCTGTGGTGGGGACATCTATCAACCAAACGCGTCCTCTTACACACAGCACTGTACGCAGGGCTACGCGCCAGGTAACATAACGCGCTTCGCTCGATTATCTTGCCATGAATCATAGCTGCAGTTCTGTAGCTCGCTTGGTTTCGCTGTCGGTTATTTTGTTCGTCGTGGTGTTAACGCAAAACCAACTGCAGCTACATGAATCACCGTCCCTAGGGACGGTTGAGGGACGGTGCATGAATCAATCTACCAGGCAGAGTTCTATTTCCACGAATACAACAGAGCGGAAGTGACGTGCATTTTGTGTCGCATTTACATCATTGGCTGGTTCCCGCCTCAAGTGTCATGGCGTACCAAGCCACCTGCCATTCGCAAAGGACGCCGGGAACCAGCGAGATTTACATCATAGCCCTGAGTACAGTCCTGTAGGTTGGCCTCCTTCCGTTGATCATTCGGCCCCACATGATCAGCAGAAGGCCAACCTCCACGACTGTACTCAGGGCTACCTACATCATTGATGGAAGGTTAGTACGTCTATGGCCAGTTTCTTGTAATGTCTTGTTTTGAAGCTGTTGAATTGTTGGCCTCAATATAACTAATATGCTCTTGAAAAGTTAAACTGTTTTTTTATCGTCACCAAGGACCGAAAAAAACAATCAAACACCAGTGTTGGTTTGTCCCACAGTCATGTGGTTTGTCGTAGAATGGGCACGGTTACGCCTGGCCCTGCGTACAGTGCTGTGGCGTCCCGTACACACAGCACTGTGCGCAGGGCTAGGTTACTAGTAGACTTGCATACAGCCCCTTGTTTATTTGTTGTTGTTTTCTCAATAAAATAAAATGTTGTGGAAGTGTAAATGGCGAAAGCCGAGTTACCGCACAAAAAAACAAGTCCAGGCTACTAGAAACAGCCAGTAGGCTACCCTGCACATAAACAAATAGTGATCATAGAATGAACACCAAAGGTAGCCTAATACACTGATAGTTGTTGCTGTTTTGTTCCATAGCTGTTTTTTAAGAATGAATGAATGAACTTTATTGTTCCCGTGTAAAAAAGAGTAGATTACATAGGGTGTTTCACTGTTTGCAACAATAAAGAATTTTTGTTAACAAGACAATATTTTGAAAATAACTAGAATGAATGTACTTAAAATTCACAAATAAATATGTATAAAAAAAAAAAAAATACACAAATAAATTATTAAAGAAATCTAATTTCTAATTTTGGTCACAGCTAAAATAAAGTTTGATATCTCTTGTTGAACTAATTTATCTTGATGTGAAAGTAAATATGTGAAACAAGAAATGTTATTGTTAGCCGGGTCTTTAATTTTATGTAACAGTTGAGATCTCTGCTGTTCATATTTTTGACAATCTAAAAGTAAATGGATCTCATCTTCAATGCAGTTATTACAAAATTGACAAAGTCTGCTAATCATTGTACTTTTTGGATAGAATGTCTGCCTTTTTCAATAGCTAAACTATGATCGCTAACCCTGAA